TTTTACTGCAGTCTTCAGTGTCACATGATCCTTCAGAAATCATTCTCAAGTAGGGATGTAAGAGCCGGTCGAAAATCATAATGTTTGACAATTCAAGTTGGTTCAGATGTTAAACAAATCATGATACAATTGCTGGTGAGGATTTATAAATGTATTTCTGAGGAAAACTGACTGTCTTCAGAAAAGTTTACATGGTATTTTCTTTGCATCTTGCCTCAGTATAATAAAAGACTATAGAATACCCAAGACGTGTCACTCGTATAGTTTTGAATGGGGAAAAATGCAACGCTCAATATGGCTGGGTCTTCAGTAGTCAGATGTCCTTCATGGAAGAGCATTACACAAGAGATTGTGCTTACCCTGAAATCAGTTTGCATGCCAAGTGTTCTTTTGATCGGTCATGATGCCCTTGATTGGTTTGTTTGTCTTTCTCTCCTCCTGGTTTGGTCAGTTCTCCACTCTGTGTGTTCAGTAGCTTCTTGTGTCATGATTGTCCTCTTTTAAAGGATCTCACCCTGTATGGGGCACTCAATTTAAGAAATACACCTCACAGATATATTAACTCTTTTGACATCATCTATTATCATTAACTGTTTTTCCTTCTCTCCTGCTTTTTCAGTCAAAGACAGTGTTGTGCCCCATGTCAGGATGTCCTTTGAAGATGAGTGATTTGATTTCAGTGCGCTTCACTCCACTGGACTCCAGTCTGGACAGAGTGGCCCTCCTCACACGCCAAGTAAGAAGCCTTAATTTTTGAGCTTTATGTATATATGTATTTATTTATGAGCTGCATCTCTCTTTCCATTTAATACTGTATACAATACCTTTCAAAAATTTGGGGTTGGTAAGATTAGAAAACGGTAATAAGAATGGAAAACCGAAACCATTGTGAAATAATATTACAATTTTAAATGTTTTCTATTCTAATATTAACATATTAAAATGTAATTTATTCCTCATAGTAGGGCTGCACGATAAATCGCATGCGATATTTAATGCGGATTTAGAGAGCACATTTTCAAATAGGTGCTGTCTTTATATATAAACCGCAAATTTGAGTTTTAAACAACTACGTTCTCGCCTGAAATACTTTTAAAACTACATTTCATGACACAATAACATTATTGTGATTAACAGTAATATTTAAAAAAATTATGCGATTTAAATGGTGGTTTTAATACAATGCTGTGTGAACTCAACCAATCAGCATGCTCAGCGCCCAAGTCCCGCCCCCAGAAGTTCTGGACCTTTGAAAAAGTACTACCTCGTGAGCAGGGACTTTCTGAGGGGCAAATTTTTACCCGTAACTTTATTTAGATCCTGGTTCCTGCGGTGGAAACACACCGAGTACCGGCCCAAAGTCCAAAAGTTCCT